GATGTTATCTAAAACTATGAAACAAGTGAGGTCACCAAGGAATAGTACAGATAAAACAATATCTAAAATCCAATATGTCCTAAAGAAAACAGTAACTTGATTTTTCAAATTCAGAACACACAGGGGCAGAAAGAATACTAGGAATTCATTCACTTCAGTCCCCTTTATTAGAGACAGGGGTGAATAAGAACTAGAACTATAATCTTCAAAAAGGAATAAAACTACTACTAATAATAATTGCTAGACAATAAAAATGTTCAATAGCTAAGCACAACCTTGTAAACACAGGAATCCAGGGTCCTACCTCAGTCATGGTCATCATTTCATTACGACATTTATCCAACTGATTCTGCAACTCATTTTGGCTCTCCACTAGTTGTAAGCCATACTGTGCAGCTTTTAGTCGCTCTTCTTCGACTTCTTTGAGCTTGCATCGAAGATCTGCAATTATATCTGCCTCCATGTTTTTTTCTTTCGTTTTTAATCTACTGTAAATAGAGGAAATGAAAGTACTTAAGCTTAAACAAAATATCCCGTACAATGATAACGATAATAAAAGACATATATATCTTTCCCCCCAATACTATTGCCATGTTAAAAACATAGCATCGAAGATTTTATTACTGGCTTTTAAGTGGTCAAATTTGCATTCTCGTTCTAAAAGCAAGGTCTGATAATTCTTTTACCTGATTTGAGACCAAATCAAACAGAGAAAAAAAAAATTGAACACATTTAACTTTGTTTCTAAGAAATGCAGTTATCAGGAAATTGTTCACTTGTGTGCTAAGCTTCCTTAAATGCTGAGGAAGGGTGGGTCTCATATTTATATCACTATACAGGTAACCAAATTAAGAGCACAATGAAAGAAATCAAGAACTTAGAGTAACATGACTGCTACTTAAAATACAAACATGCAGCTTTGAATAAGGTTTCTAAGGCAAGGACTATCATGTCCACAATTTTTCACAACAGTGTTAACTTCCTGAACACATTAAATTTGCTGTATTGACAACAGGTTCACTAGTATTTTCCATTATTCATAAGAAGACATGAAAAACAGAATCATGTTCAGAGTAATTAAAAACATTTCTTTCATTCTAGATTTTCAATCAAGGACTTAAACAATCAAGGACTTTTATATAGAAACATTCCATGTAATTCAACCTTACTCATCAGCCTTTTCAAATTGGTCCATCTCTTAGGCCAGATTCAAACTCAGCTTTGCATTCAAAGAGCAACAGGCTGTTAATAAGGTTGTTTCCCCACTTTCCAGACAATGTAGTCATCATTCAACAATTATTTCTTAAAGCCTTATGTGCTGAACTCCATTCGGGCATTTCAGATCCATCAGAAGCCAAATGAGCCAAAAAAGAAAAAAAAAAGTGCTCTTCTTTCATGAAACTTACCTTCCAGTGGGAGAAGACAAGCAATAATAGTATCATAATTAAATGCATTAGAAAGTGAAAAAAAAAAAAAAGGAAAGAAAACAACAGGATAAGGGATCCTGGAAGAAGTGGGGGTATTGCAACTAGGATGAAATCTAAAATAAGCATTGTGGGGGAAGCCCTCAAGGTGATTTCTGAAAGAAAAAAAAAAACCTTGCAGAGGATAAAAGAATTAGCTATGTATCTATTTCAGGAAAGAAAAAGGAGTAGAGGAAGAGGGGTAGCACCAAAGTAGAAGAACACCCAAGGAATAAACAAGATAGAGTTTAAGTCACAGGCCTTAATAGGGGAGAATAGGCAAAGCAGGCCATCACAAGGACTTTGGCTTCTACTATGAGTGAGATTGGGGGTCACTGTGAAGTCTGGAGTAGAGAGCCGATACATTAAAAGGATCATTTTGGCTGTTATGTTGAATACTTTGGAGGGGAGCAAGTGGGAAGCAGAAAGACCAGGTGAGATGACTGCTTACACAAGGGTGATTATATAGGAGGTGGGGAGAAATGATCAGATTCTGCACATATAGTTTGAAGGTAAAGCCAACATGATTTTCTGAAAAATTAAATGTGGGGTGTATGAAAAAGAGATAAGTCAAAAAGCCTTTAAGGCTTTTGGCCTGAGCAACTAGTAGAGCAAATTTGCCATCAGCTGAATCATCAAAAATTATGAGTAAAAATTGTTTTGCAAGAAAATCAGGGGCTTATGTTTTGGACATGAAATGTATCAAGTAACCAGTTGGCAATATGAAAAGGATCTGGGCTGGAAATATAAACCTAGGAGTTATTAACCTAAATCCTTGAGTCTTGGTGTCACCAGAGTACGAGCATAATTAAAGAAAAGAGGACCAAGGATTGAGCCTTTAAGAGGTGGGAAAGAAGACAGCAAAATATACTCAGGCATGACCAGTGAGGTAGGAAGAAAACCAAGAGCACATATTATCCTGGAAGCCAACTGAAATGGGCTGGAGAGAATGGTGGGAAAACAGGAAACAGTTTTGCTGCAAAGCAGAATAGATAAACGAGGCATTAGCTGAAGGGAAAGTAGGATTAAGTTTATCTTTTTTAAGATACAATGTTTTAAGGAAAAATAGCATGCTTGTATGTCATGGGATAGATTCAGGAGAGAAGAAAAACTGATGATATAGAAGGTATGGAGAACTGCTAAAGTGGTGAAAAAGAATGAGGTCTAATGTACAGGGACTGATTTTAGACGGGAACATGAATATTTCAACTAAAGTAAGGGAAAGCAAAATAGATGGGTACAGACACTGATAAGTAGGTAGATTAGTGGTGGGAATCTGAGTAAGTGCCCTTCTAACTGCTCCAATTTATCAGTGAATTAGGAAGCAAGGTCATTAAGTAAAAATGAAGATGAAGGAGATAAATGGTTTCAGAAGAGAGAGAGAGGAAAAAAAAGGTATCCAAGGCTGGCAGTTACTGCTCTGAAATACAGGAACTTTCTGGGGTGCCTGGGTGGAGCAGTCAGTTAAGGGTCTGACTCTTGGTTTTTGGCTCAGGTTGTAATCTCAGGGTTGTGAGACTGAGCCCCGTATGGGGTTCCTCACTCAGTGAGGAATCTGCTTCAGACTCTCCCTCCCTCTCCTTCTGCCCCTCCCCATTGCTCACTCTCACTCTCTCAAATAAATAGAATCTTTAAAAATAAAGTACAAGACCTTTCCAAAGCCTGTAGGTGATGGGGCTAGTCCCTAGTTATTGCACTGGTTTATTATGTATTTATTGAGGATTTACCATTTGTCAGGCAGAGTGCTTCAGGTGAATTATCTCATTTAATTCTCTTGATGGGCCTAAGTTAAACATTAATGTCATAAACATTTACCAAGGAAAAAAAGGGAGCTAACTTCAAGACATCCCATCCAGTGATGTCCAAGGAAGTCAAAAAAACTAGCTCTCGTTCTTTCAAAAGATTTGCTAGAATTCCTATTATGTCTCAGGTACTGGGCTATTACGGAGGACACAATGTGGACCCCAAAACTAGACAATGTCCCTGCCTTCTTGAATCTTACAGTCCATTAGTGGAAAGGCATTAAATCAAATAACTGTAAAGTTTTATAAGTGTGATAAGTGCAAGAGGGAACCTGTAACATGGGGGTGCTGTTCTAAGTTGGGAACTGAGGTGGGGGTGAGGGAGTATGGACAAGAGATTTCCCTGACAAAGTGACTTTTTTTGCAAAGGTCTAACGGATGAGTAAGAGTTAACCTGTCAATCTGCAAAGAGGTAGCAGGGTTGAATAACTATACCTAACACATGCCAGACATTGTACTTGGTACTTTGCATATATTATCTAACTCAACAACCCCAGGAAATATAAGGTATTTCCGCCATTTACACATATGCAAACTGAGGCACGGAAAGGTTAGGTAACTTGCCCAGGGTTACCAAGCTAATAAGTGGCTGAGATGGGAACCAGGGTCTAGCTCCAAAGTCTGGTACTCCTAACCACTTTTCTGTTCAGCCTCTCAGAAACATAACATGCACAAAGCATTTAGGACAGGGAGCTCAGGGATTCAGGCTGCTTTAGTTCTTACTCCACAACACACTGGCAGCATGAGCTTGGACAACTTATTTAAGGTCTTGTGTTCTCATCCATAAGATAAAGACAGTAACATCTACCTAACAGGGGTTTTGAGATTAAACCAGCTAAGGGATGATAAGCAATTAGAATCTGACACGCAGTTGTCTGGGGCAGCGCTGTCCAACGGAAAAAGAATGCGAGCTGTGATATGTCATTTTTAATTTTCTAGGAGCCACGTTAAGAAAAGTAAATACAGGTGAAATTCATTTTAGTAATGTTTTATTCAACCCATCCATCCAAAACACTAGCATTTCAACATGTAACCTTTATAATTCTTAACGGGCTGTTACTCTTCTTGTGTAGTCTTCGAAATTCAACGTGCATTTTATATTTACAGCATTTCTCAATTCGGACTGCCACATGTGGCTAGTGGCTACCATCCCGGACCGCGCAGGCGACCCGGCCTTCCTTACTGATGCACGATACCCGGGGGTGTGGGGGGGCGGAGGGGGGCCACACAGCCCAACGGAAGATTGAGACCGCCTCGGAACCTGGTTGAGAAGAACTCCGGGTTCCGCTGAAGAAGCTGTTCCGGGTAAGGGCCTCCGCCATGACCCAGACCCCAGGTTTCCTGAGGCCCTGCTTTCCCCACTCCCCATAGAGAATCCCTTCGCCGCTCCCACCGCTCCTCTCCACACACACCTCCCTCCAGGCCCGTTGCCCCTACCTCTCTCCTCACCCCTTTTCCCTGCTACTGCAGCCGGCGGCTCGTGACGAGGGCTCAGGGCACCCAGGTTCGCGACGGTAACACGACCCACAACCAGACACGCCCGCCCATTCACTCACCTAGCTCTCGGGTAAGCGCCAGGGCTTTTTGAATGCTGTTCTCGCGACAACTCACACATCTCGCGAGATGTTCCGCCCAAGCCGCGCGCAGAGGAAAAACAGGGAGGAACGTCCGATCCAGCGCCCCGCCCTCTCTGCCGCGCCTGCGCAGAAGCACGTGGCGTACTGGGGACTAGGGTGCCGGTGCCGACGTAGTTCCCTAACTGGTCAGCTTTACACAAGCTTGGTTTTGTACGTGTCTTCCCCATGTCTACGTTTAGTTGCCATGCCGTTTGTTTCTGTTTTGTTCTGACGACTGTACCTTCTGGAGAGACAGTGTCACTAGAAGGCGAGGCGGTGGGGAATTCTGAGGTGTGCAGGCCTCCGGCATCCTACTCGCAGGTTGGCTGGCGCGCGCCCCGAGGGCTGTGCCCTCTCGTATCTTCCATGGTTCCAGGAATCTGAATCAGTGTGACAGTGCCTAAACTCATCATAGGACAGTATCACACTTACTGTTACAGAACAGGATGGCAGTTATCATTATAATGGCTCTAACATTTGGGCTTTCACCATGTGCTAGTACAGTGCTAAATTTTACACGGATTATCTCAGTTAAGCCCACGAACAGCCTGAGGAGGTAGGTATTATTATCCTCTCTTTCTACTGAGGAAAACAGCCGGAGGAAGAAAAGTATAATGGCCAAGTGGTAGAACTAGAATTTGAACTAATGCAGTCTACTGCTAGCGGCCAGGCTTTTGCGTGTGTGTTTAAATAACGAATTTAGGATGTGAGGGCGATCTGGCTGCGACATCTGTCACCCCATTGATCGCCAGGGTTGATTCGGCTGATCTGGCTGGCTAGGCGGGTGTCCCCTTCCTCCCTCACCGCTCCATGTGCGTCCCTCCCGAAGCTGCGCGCTCGGTCGAAGAGGACGACCTTCCCCGATAGAGGAGGACCGTTCTTCGGTCAAGGGTATACGAGTAGCTGCGCTCCCCTGCTAGAACCTCCAAACAAGCTCTCTCAAGGTCCATTTAAATAACGAATTTATGTTTTGTAAGCCTGATGCCTATTCACTATTCTAAAATTTAAGCAATCAGAAATAATAACACTAGCCAACATTTACTGAGCATTTCTGAGTCCGAGCAGCTGTTATATGATAGGTCATGTGCTTTGAAACCATCTTTCTTGCTTACTTGAGCCCTTGACCATAGCTCCTCTCTTTTTCGTGATCAGTTTTTTTCTTCCCTGGTGGATCTTACCTAAACATGCTGTAATGACTGACATCTGAAAAAATAATTCTAATCTTCCTTGACTCCAGTCAGCTACCCCTCCATTTATTTGCTTCCCTTGGTAACAAAATTCCTGAAAAAAAAAAAAATGAGACTGGTTATCTTCATTTTCTTACCTTTCATTGTAGCATTTTTTCCCACTTCAGGTTTTGGTCCCCACAGATCCAGTAAAATGGCTCTTCTCAACATCACCAGTGAGTTCTGTCTTGCAAAATCCTCACTTCTCTTGTATTATGACAGAGTTGATTACTCTTATTGAGTCTGGGTTTAGGTCTTGCGGTGCAACACCTTCCTTGCTTTCCTCTTTTTAGTTTCCTTTGTGGACTTTTAGTTCTGATTGAGCTAGGCCAGACAAGAATTCATCTAGGTTTGAAGACTGGCAACAATGATACCTTCAAGTTGCCTAGCAGATGCACTTGGGGTCTGAATGAGTGAGATGCTTGTTCATTTGTCATCACCCCCATGTTTTTGAGTAAATGAAATTCCGTTTTCCCTACGATTTAACAAAGATTCTTCAACTGAATTCCTCAAAGTAAGACACCATTCTAGCCTAGGTCAACCATGACTGAGTGAAATTAGGTAATCTAAAATGTACCTGAACTTCATTTTTCTTTTTTGTTACATGAGAAGGTAGACCTACATTTCACTAATGTTTCTTCCAAATCTAATTTTTAATATTTTAAACTATTAACCAAGTGGCCATAATGTATTAAGCACAGTGGAAGGAATTCAGAGATGTGGTAATCTCCACCACTGTCTGGAAAATGTTTACAAAATAGTAGGGGACAAAAAAAAAAACAAATATAAATAACTAGAGGGCTGTATATAAATGCCATATACCCTACACTAAAGGGTGAAAAGGGAGAGGTCAGTTTTGTGTGGCTGTTCCATTAATGTGTCACAGTGCAGGTGGCACTTGAGCGGGGCCTTGAAGAATGGTTGAGCTAAGGAGGAGTGCATTCAAGGGGAGGGCACAACATTAGCAAAATCATACAAGCAACCTGTATTATAATTATGGTCATTCCTTAGGAACAGTCTGGGTAAGGTGCTACCACTACCACCACTGGACACTAGATGTCACAAATGAATGAATTCTGGATGGTTCCTGCTTGTTTGGATAACTTGCTTAAGATTCATAGTTCCTGATATAGATGCACATACCCAGATGAGGTTCACACACCATGCACTAAATGCCATGGATCAGGGGGAAAAAAAGCATATATATGTTATTTTCAGTTTATATAATGTGAGTCGGGATTTTGCTTCCTCACACAGAGTAGTGGATTCACCAAGCATAGGAAGGGAATTTAGATGCTGGGAAAGAACAACCCTCCTCTCCAGCATAGTTCCTGATATTATAGCTGTTCAAAGCTAGAAAAGACTGCTATTGTGCACTGGCCATCATTCCTTGATATGACTGTTACAGTGGAAATGGGAAGATTGGTTATCAGAAATGGTGTAGAAGGAGTGTTACACTGTACTGAAAGCCTGTGTGTATTTTGATATGAACTTACTGAATAATTAAATTTGTTTTTGGTATTATAGGGGAATAATATTTGTCTTCGAGGGACTTAGGGTTTAGTGAAAGAGACATTTACCAAACAATAAATCCTTACTCAGAGTATGGTTTAGACTTTCTTGTTCCTTCATATTATTAAATAAAGTTCCAAGATAGTTTTGGGGGGATCAAGCAAGAACAAGCCCAGGACTCTGTGACACAGTTTGCAAATAGGAACTGGATTGATCTACAAAGCTCCATAATTTATAGGATGGGCCAAAAAATGAAGTTTTGGAAGTTAAACTCAAGGTTGTGGTAATTGAGACCTGCAGAATGGCTGAGATCAAGAAACAGTCTTCGAGGGGCACCTGGGTGGCTCAGTCATTAAGCCTCTGCCTTTGGCTCAGGTCATCATCCTAGGGTCCTGGGATCAAGCCCCACACTGGGCTCCCTGTTCAGTGGGAAGCCTGCTTCTCCCTTCTCCCTCTCACAAACTCCCCCTGTTTGTGTTCTCTCTCTTGCTGCCTCTCTCTGTGTCGAATAAATAAATAAATAAAATCTTTTTTAAAAAAAGAAAGAAAAGAAAGAAGAGAGGGCTATGTGCAGGAATTTGGTGATTGTTCTAATCCACAAAACAAGAGAAGAATAAGGATTCAACAACAGCAAGAAAAAAAATCAGAAGAACCATCTGAGAAGTGATCAGGAAATTTAACTGTCACAATTATTGTGTTAATTAGATATCAATATGAATGATTGTATCAGGCCAGCAGATTTGACTGTTTAATAGTAAGAATGACAGTGGCAGTCTTTCTTGGCCCTGCTATTTATAACCAGCTTCAGTTCTTCATGAGCCCTATTGCTATACTCCTTTTCCCCCTGAATAGAGGCAGTCCTCACTTGGAGCAAAGTTGCATCATCCCAATATTGTGGACATTTATTAGCTAACTTCCCAGAATCAATTCCATTCTCCTTTTCCTGTCCAAAGCATTCTGATTATTCTTTAATAATTCATTTTCCTGTCCATTTCAACCATGCAGATTGTTTAAAATTGATCCTACCCTTCAGCTGTAAGGTATCCCATCACTCTGGTTATAGTAATTTGTTCAAAGATGGGCATGCAACTGAATCCTAGCCAGTGAAACAAAATGAGATATTCACTGAGACTCCTGGAAAAATGGAGTTTGTTAAGCCCCTCTGCATTTAAATTTTGTAGCTCAAAGCTGCCTGCTGCTATCCTGGTTCCGTGAAACTTAAGTTTGCTTGGAATAGACCGAAAAGCAGAGCTGATAATTAGAGAGGTTGAAAAAGAGTCCAGGTCATACTGTTTGTACCCCTACATCAAACTCCTCTTAAAGCAAGAAATATCCCTGAACAATAGTTTTTGCTCAAGTGGCTTCAATTTTTGTTTTCTGTTACTTGTAACATGAAAGGTTTTAACCAATACACTCAATAATACTTAAGTCTGAACTTGAGTAGACTAATTAACGTGTCAAGTTCCCAGTTTACATTTAGGATGCCATGAGACCAAAACTGGAAGTTGCTAATGTCCAGAGATAGGATTTAGTGATGGCTCCTCTGAGAAAAATTCATTGGTTGAACTAAAAGAAAGACATTCTAAATGAAGGGACGTAGTGTATAGTAGAGTAAAATAAGGATCCAAGCAGCTTGCATGTAATCCCTTTCTTGGCAACACCTCACATTATCATTATGCCCCTGTGAAGCTGACTTCTTCAGGTGATTTTAGCACCTAAGACAGAATTAGACCGAAGGTTTATATCAGTTGTAGTTTTTACTTGCCAAAAATAGTACCCAGCCTAGTTAAAGATATGTGTATATGAAAAATACCAGTCTTAATTTTTGCAACTATTCACAAAACTGTAGTTGCTACTTTATGACAACCTATCTTCCAGTGCCCTTTACATATTTCTTTCATTTTTCTGTCAGTATCTCAACTAATTGGTGCTCTTTACCCAGTACAGTGACTCTGATCTTAACTACTGAATAGAACATATTCACTAGTTATTATCTATATTACTCACTATTCTGTTGGCCCGGATTTACTTGGGCAGACTCAAAGTGAGATAGGATACAACTTAAGGTCTTGTTCTTTCTCTGAGAGCTTGAAACTGTCACACTACTTTCTCTCACGCGCGTGTGTGTGTATGTGTGGATTCAGTGGAAAGAAGTGGTAACTGTCTTGATGCTGTAATATTTTGCTTAATATATTTTATTCCTAGAAAAAAACAACTTGGGAGTGTACACAGTAAAAGGAGAAATTGATGAGTCAGCACCCCCAAGTAAGCAGCTGAGTACACCTGTTCAGTGATGCTCATGAACTACCTCTTGCCTATTGCCACTAGGTGACAGTCTTTACAAATATTTCATCTGAAAGAGTGTCTTTGTGTTGACAGAAATCAGATTCTGTTGGGAGAGATGGTTACCTTGCTAGTTTCAGCTGGAAGATTTTTTTTTTTTTAAGATTTTATTTTATTTGACAGAGACACAGTGAGAGAGGGAACACAAGCAGGGGGAGTGGAAGAGGGAGAAGCAGACTTGCCGCAGAACGGGGAGCCCAATGCGGGGCAGGGAGCCCGATGCGGGGCGGGGAGCCCGATGCGGGGCTCAATCCCAGGACCCTGGGATCATGACCTGAGCCAAAGGCAGACGCTTAATGACTGAGCCACCCAGGCGCCCCTCAGCTAGAAGATTAAGCAAGCGCATGTGTTTGTTATAACCTACACTTTTGGTGACTTGAGATCATAGTTATTCCTCATCTGGAGCACTCTTCTCTTACTACTAGCTTATTCCTTTCTACAGACTGAATTGCTTCCCCTAAAATTCATAGGTTAAATCCCTAACCTCCAATGTGACTGTATTTGGAGATAGGGCTTTAGGAGGTCCTTCCAGTTAAATATGATCATAAGAGTGGGGCCCTAATCTGGTAAGATTGGTAGCCTTACAAGAAAAGGAAGAGAAAGATCTCTCTCTGTCTCTCTCTGACTCACTCTCTCTCTCCCCCCCCCCCCCCCCCATGCACCACAGAAGAAAGGCCATGTCTGAAAGTGGCATCTACAAATCAGGAAGAGAGCCCTCCCCAAGAACTGACTGGGCCAGCACCCTGACCTTGACTTCTCAACCTTCAGAACTGTGAGAAATAAATTCTCTGTTGTTTAAGAATTTTGTTATTGTAGCCTAGAGCAGACTTTCCATGGCTGGAGAGGCCCTGTGACTAATGGTTAAGAATATGATACATGTTCTGGAATCAACATCTGGTTCAGTTGTAGGCTCTGTTACTCCATAGCTGTGTAATCTTTAACAAGCTACTTATTCTCTTTAAGACGCAGTTTCCTCAAGTACAAAATGAGATGATCAAAAGTACCTAATTTGATAGGTCATTGTGTAGTTTAAATGAACTAACACTTTTTTTTTTTAAAGATTTTATTTATTTGAGATAGAATGAGAGAGAGAGAGTACATGAGGGGGGAGGGTCAGAGGGAGAAGCAGGCTCCCTGCTGAGCAGGGACCCCGATGCGGGACTCAATCCAGGGACTACCAGGATCATGACCTGAGCCGAAGCAGTTGCTTAACCAACTGAGCCACCCAGGCGCCCCATGAACTAACACTTTTTAAACACTTAGCATGATGTCTGCTGTTACTAAAGCATTGTCTCAGCTCAAATGTTACACCATCTGGGATAGAAAAGGATTACCCTTTTCTGAATCCCTATCCTAGGTGTCTTTTATGTATGTCTATGGCACCCTGTGCTTATCCTTTGGAACACTTACAGTAGTTTGCAATAATTTGTGTAATTTATGTCTGCCTCCCTTACTAAACTATAAGCTATTTGAGGCTAGAAAAGCCAATATGTTTTACTCACTGTGGTTTCTCTCAGCAAGTGTCGTAGTGCGTGGAACAGGTAGGTGTTAAAGTCGAGTTTGATTAATGAATAATAAATGAAATTCATTAATTTAAATGAGGTATCTGTAAACTCTCTTTGAGAGAACCAAGTCAAGTAACTTATAAAAGAATTACTATTCTTAAAAAAAAATTACTATTCTTAATTCTGAATGAAAAATGCAGAAAATATATTAATTGTTTACATGAAACAAATTAAGTGTTCCAGAGATGGTACACCAAATAATCTCTGAAGTTTTAATCACTTCATTCACTTGTGATAATATGTGTCCCTCACTTGAACCAGTATTTCTTCACTGGGAATTTATGTATTGATATTTTTTTTAATTCAAGCATTTTAAATTATACTAAGGAAACTGGTATAGAAAATACTCCTATTGGAGAGGCCTGTAAAGCAAAGAATTCTTGGCTAAAGAAAGTGTTCACTTTTGTGTAAATACAGAGTCGTATTAAATTCTTTTAAAGGAAGATCCACCCTTGATGAAGTTAAAGTTTTAAGACTCATGTTTTCCTAATATTTTATCACGCCATGGATGGATTTATCTATTTCCTGGAAAACAAAACATGTTGTCCTATTAATTTTCCAAAAATAGCAAATATTTAAAAGGGTGTATAATTTCAGTAATTTTTAAAGTCCTTTGGTTATGAAGTGGCCAGCTAATTAAGTAAGGTGGCCCAAAAGTATAATAATGAGAAGTGTAAGAGAAGTATTAGTTATTCATGTTTAAAAAGATAATTTTTTGTTTCCAAAGTTTTCTCAAAATATGGGGCATAAGTATTTTGTGGACTTTACATACCTTAGATGGATAGTAAAAGCACCCTGTTTCCTATCATGGTGATAAAACTTAAGGCAGCCTTGATACGGGATGTGATCCTTTCTTCGATCATTGCCTTACCATTTTATTTGCCTTTGCATTATCAGGCAGGGTGCTTGGAACCTGGAATCATCACAAATGAACCCCATCAACTCCCCCATGACACACCACATGCTGGCAGTATTTGTCTACTTTTGATAAATTGGTCAGTCTTGTGAAATACTTCTGTAAGATGAAGTTCTGGAACTTGTCAGGTGTCCTCTCTGACACTCATGTCTTCCTTTGGCTCTCAGATTACCCAACCAGCTGGGGTAAAGCCCATATCCTCCCACAGAGCATGTTTCTTTGGAAATTCAGATCTGTTGGCTTTTGGCTCTAAAAAGTAATGTTCTTGCACTTTCTGTCAGATCAGTACTGAATAATCTCTTGGGGGTGAGTAACCTTTTAAATGTTGGAGGAGTAACAATTCCAGGGATCAGTGTGCATTTAGCAATTTGTAAGAAAAATCAGAAGGAATACAGTGTCCTTTTGACTACATTTGAATGTAGCAAGGCCTAAATCTCTATGCACACACAAAAAGTATGTCTTCTGAATTACATAGGCATGTAATCATTATTACTATAGATGACTGAAGGCAGGAGTTACGAAAGGGTCTTGGGTGACTGTTATCCTCCTACCTATAAAACTCCTGGCAAAGGGATTAATAGGTGTCCTATAAACAGAGGCAGAGTTAAGTTCTTAAAAACAGCATCCCATTCATAGGATTTAAATCTCCCAGCCAAATGGAAAAATAGGTTTAAAAAGTAACATCTAGTCTATTCTTAAATATAGTTGGAAGCTCTGACTTCATTTTTACTCCCGTAAAAATAAATAGTGCTACTCTCATCCTAAGAAATATATATATATGTGCATTTCAAAGAGTAGTTTCCAAACTTTGTTCTACATAAGAAACATCTTTTTTTTTCATAAGAAACATCTTATATAGAACATTAATGAAGAGCTTTTACAACTTCTGATGCTCAAGCTATACCCAACACTAATTAAATTGGAATGTGTAGGGGTGAGTGCCAGGCATCAGTGATTTTTAAAGATGCAGGGGAGAATGCAATGTGCAGCGAAGTTTGGGAACCTGGGATAACACAGTCATGTACTCTCTCCTGCACTCCAGCTTTTCTTCATTGCCTCTTTAGCTCAGTGGTTCTCATCCTGACTGCTCATCACAGGGCATCTTAAAAAAACCCATTCTGATTTATTTGGTCTAGGGCAGTGTATAAGAATCAGAAATGTTGGGCACCTGGGTGGCTCAGTTGATTGGGCGTCTGCCTTCAGCTCAGGTCATGATCCCGGGGTCCTGGGATCGATTGAACCCTGCATCAGGCTCCCCAGGGAGCCTGCTTCTCCCTCTGCCTCCCTCTCTCTCTCTGTCTCTCATGAATAAATAAAGAAAATCTTAAAAAAAAAAATCAGAAATGTTTAACTGTTCCCCAAGTGATTCTAGTGTGTAGCTGTGGTGGAATCACTGGGCTAACTGATTATAGAAAGAGGTAGGATAAGGTGGGTCCTTTAGTCTTTTTTCTGGCTGTTAAGAGCTTTATACATTTTAAAATTATTGTTCACTAGATTGGTTGAATGAATTTTTTCTTCAACTCACTAGGCTGTTAAGCCCAACCACTTTCCTGAACCCATTGGTGGTAGGATTGCCCAATAAAATATAGGACAGCCAGTTAAATTTGATTTCGGCTAAACAATGACTATTTTTTAGTACAAGTATGTTCATGCAATATTTGGGATGTATAATAAAAAAAAGATTGTTTATAGGAAATTCAAATTTAACAGGTATCCTATATTTTTATTTGCTACTTCTGACAATGCTAAGTGGTAGGAGAGCATAGCTCATTCTTGGGAAAATCAGTAATTGAATTCAGGAGAGTTCCATCCTTTTAATCTTCAGGGTTTATAGTCTATTTTTTTTAAGCTCTTACCCCTTCTAGCTGTAGAGGTAGTAGATAAAAAGGCAGGAGCAGTTTGGGAATTTAAAAGTGCTTAAAATCCTGCAGTGAGCCAAGAAGACTCACATTTTCCTTTTGCTTAGGGTATCATTGGATGACCATCAGGGGAGCAGCATAGAAGATGAGGGGGGGGTCACTGTGCAAGAAAAGAGAACACAGAAGGGGGTAGAGATCTGAATCTTCAGTATAACCTTTAGTTTCAGTAACCCCAGTTCTGTGTGTGCTCTTTAGAGGATTGCCATTTTGAGCCTTTTCCATAATTTTCAAGAAGTTCAGAATTGCCTTTTAAAAATTATTATTTCTTCTTAACCTATCTGAATATCAGATCCTTGCTGCTTCCGCTGGGGTCGAGATAGTTTCCAGGTGAAACTGTTCTCATAGCTTACTGAGTCTGAAATAATGGAAACTTCAGATTGTCCCTAGCAATCTTTAAGAACCCCCTCATCTCAAGAGGCTTCCCAAGCGGTCAGGATGCCTTTCAGCCCCATCCTTAAGGACTGTTCACCATAAGCTGATTCCTGAAATTTCCTTCCTCCCCACCATCCCAAATAGGCCTTGAACTGTAAATAAAATTCATGGGTAGGTGTATTTCTTGGCCAATAGCAGGCTCTATACAAAAGGAAAAGGAGCAAGATTTCACAGTAATTCCCAGAAAGCAGGTGTTGTAATTATTTAACCAAATTGGAGCCTGACATTTTGATGAGCAACTCTTGAGCACCCCTCATAATTTCCTCGATGGAGGAGATAGGCAAACAGGCAATATTTCAAATCCCCATTTGCCAGTCCAAGTTTACTAATAGAAGGAGGTGAAACAGGTGAAGCACATTAACTTTTAACCTGTTAACATTGATTTTTTTTTTTTCACTGAACGTTAGATGTTTAAAAGGGAAATTCACACTGGCAGAAAGGAGACAAGACAGAGGGTGATAAGAAGGGGCTGAAAGCTGGCTTGCATCATGGAACATATCCGCAAGCCAGCTGGGCCCACTTTGTGCAGATGTTTTTGTAGGAACAAGAAGGAGGGGCTAGTGTTCTAATATTCAGCACATTAATGAAGCAGTGGAATATCTCTGTGATGCTGCTCCTTTCTGTGGCTGGAGGTGGATGTAGAGGATCAGAGGCTTTGGGATAAATTTATTGTTCAGATTGAGTTCACAGAAATTGCATATATTGATAGTAAGGCTTTTTTCCAAGTTCACTTAGAAAGGGCTAATTTATTTTTTAGGATGCTGACTCTGAAAACCAAAGAGCTGCCTGTTTATTTGCCTGTGGATGGAACAATCAAATCATCATCAGATAATTTCTTCATAGGTGGGCAAACATGTACCTGGTTGGAGATAATAGTTTCAAAATGAATCTCCTTGAGTCTAAATGTTTAGCATGTTTTGGGGCAATGTAGATTAAGTCTTCCTCTTCCCCAGATGGTTAGCTTGGTCTTCCACTTTTTGCCTGAATGCTTCAGTAGTATGCCTATGGAGCATGTATTTCAGAAAATGGAGGAAGTCCATTTTTCTATGTCAGTTGGAGGTTTGCAGATTGGTGGCCCACTGTTTGGTGTACACAATGCAGAAAAAGGAAAAAAAAAAAAACCCTTTGAGCCAAAATGAGAAACCTGGAAATTTATGCACACACACACACACACACTCACACTCACACTCATACGCACACACAGAAATTTGGATTGCCAGCTTCTCTTGAAAAATCAGAAGATTTGGTCATGCTGTACCCACATTCCTCATGCCAACATCTTTGTATTTTCTGGGCACACATTTTCCAGTTTACCTGTCTGTCATTTTATCTTTGGGCTTATTCATTTGGATAGGCGCCCTGGGCTTATTCATTCAGTGAAATAGGTCAGATATAAGGAGACATTTTTATTACCTTCATGTATGGTTCCTATATGCATTTGAATTTGCCATCCATGATATGAGGCTAGATTATATTATCGCTCCAAAGTCCTTCAAGCTGATTCTGTGATTCTTCTCTTTTATATAAATGGAGTTTTTAATATTTTTGGAGATTATCTGATACTTGAGTAAAGAACTTGACTGTACTGTAGCTCTAAAAGTCATTTCTGTCCTATTTCAATTGGGTCTGCTTAAAGCGTGAATGAATTTATGACAAACAGAATAACTCTTCAGTTGATTTTCTTCTTTGGCTGTGTTTTTATTGATGGGAATTAAAATGATCATCTGGATAAGCTTATTTATAAATGAAAACCAGAAATTAGTAATTTGAGTATTCAGAAGGGATTGCCTATGCAGGTAAAATCTAGCAAAGAAATGCTCAACTGCTGACTCAACCTAGTATCAGACAACTTAACACAAGAGGACATAGAGATAAAATCTGACCCCTTTGTTTTACTGATAAAACTGAATTTAAGAGAAGTAAAGCCATTTACTCTTTTTTCCCCTATTTATTTATTTATTTATTTATTTATTTATTTATTTATTTATTTTTGGTATAGTGTTCCATGATTCATTGTTTGTGTATAACACCCAGTGCTCCATGCGGTACGTGCCCTCTTTAATACCTGTCACCAGGCTAACCCAATCCCCACCCCCCTCCCCTCTAGAACCCTCAGTTTGTTTCTGAGAGTCCATAGTCTCTCATGGTTTGTCTCCCCCTCCAATTACCCCCCTTCATTTTTCCCTTCCCTTCCTTTCCCTATCTTTTTTTTTTTTTTCTAACATATAAAAGCCATTTATTCTTAATCACACTATAGGTTTGTGTCAGAGCTGGGGCCCAAACCATCTCTTTTGACTTTAACCAAGGCCAGTGTTATTTCTCTTATCTTTAATTGCTTCTAATTATATAGGTACAGTTTCAGGTTTACTTCTCAGTTTTCATTATTTATTCCAATAACATTATTTACAATAATAATTATCATAACTTTGTCATAGCTATGCATTTTATAATTATTAGAATTATTTATAGATCATTTCATAGGTACTTTTCTTAAAAATGTGAAGATGACCCTTATTAATGAAAAATTTATAATTCATATTTTAATTTAAAAAAAGGCTTTCAAACAATAGGAAATGCTAACAGTAGTTGTCTTTGCCTAATTTTAGATGCTTCCCCTACTTCTTTCCTATTATTTTTTGTTTGTCCAAATTTTCCATAATGAATCTATATCATTTTTATAATTGTTAGAATTTTGAAACAGTTATATAAAAGAAACAAAGGCAAAACCAGCCTAATAGAGACATTTATGTGAAATTAAAATGTTCTCACACCTCATTCATTCCTATAAGTGGGATGTAAAGACCATTTCCTGTGACTCAAATATGCACACACAGAGAAAGGATTTGACACTTTCCCACAGTGAAAGAAAAATGTCTGGTGGCCATGACTGCAAGGGGCATGTGCTGAGGGCAGTGACCTAGAGCACATTCCAGGCTGAGTAACACGGACTTTAAAACTGAAAATCCAGCAGTTCTAACTCTCTCAATTATTATCCCTTTACAGTAATCTGGCAGTTTTAACTCTCTCAGTTATTATCCCTTTACAGTAATCTGGCTAATTGATTAGCCCAGTCTTCTAGTATGGACTTTTTAAATTTTTTTTTGGAAATTCTGAAAGTTAAGTGAGTTCAAATTTATTTACCCTTTGTCTAGTGTTCGGAAATTTCAAGGAAAGTTCGCACCAGACATCTCTCCCAAAGGCTACTGCAACAGCTGCATGGTTACCAGGGGAAGAGTTTACTTGGATGGAGACAGAAAATACTTCTTTATAAATAATCTGTTTTTACGACTCCTGTTTCTGGGAAACCTGATACATACAATGCACCTATGAGTATTGGAGGTCAAGTTCTGACTGTGTTTTTATTAAATATTTGACTTTTTATGTGTTTTTGTAATCACTAAGTTTGAGATCTGGGTGATTAAGGAGTTTGTAAGGAGCTTGCCACTGTCTCTCTTCTCCCTGTCTCCCTGTCTTTCTTTCTCTCTCTGTTTCTCCCTCCCTCCCTTCCTCTCTCCCTCCCTTTCTGCCCCCCTCTCTCCCTTCTTTCCCCTCCCTTTCCTTCTATCTCTCTCTCTGTATTTTGAAAATACTAAGTTTTAAAATAAGGATTGCGGGCGCCTGGGTGGCTCAGTTGTTAAGCGTCTGCCTTCGGCTCAGGTCATGATCCCAGCGTCCTGGGATCGAGCCCCACATCGGGCTCTCTGCTCCGCGGGAAGCCTGCTTCTCCCTCTCCCATTCCCCCTGCTTGTGTTCCCTTTCTCGCTGTGTCTCTCTCTGTCAAATAAATAAATAAAATCTTTAAAAAATGAAATAAAATAAAATAAGGATTGCTCTACTTTCTCATGCTTCTTAGTTTTGATTTCTTAAGAAGATGAAGCATCAGAGAATATTGCATAGCTCAGTATTGACTGACCAATTACTGTCCTCAGTCCTTTAATGTGTCTTCTGCAAAGCTGGGATGCCTGGGAGAATAGTATTGACAAATAGATCCAATGTTTTGTGTCTGTTAGGAAGGCACCATTTTACTCACTTTCCCTTTATCATGGGAAAGGACACAAGCCCATCTTACAAAAGGTTATTTTAAGACCCCAGAGAATCTCAATAAAATGTTGCATCAAGTTTTTCTATCAGCAGTTAACTCTTAGCAGGACTACTCCCTTTTTAAAATTCTGATATGTTTCTAAATAAGTCATAACCTCTTCTAATATCCAGATCAGCACTAAGACACACAGACACGCGCGCACACACACATGCACACACACACACACACACCCTCACCGGCAGTCTGCATCTATAAACCTTCCTAGTATGGGTAGGATGCAGTCCTACTGCTGCTGCTTATAGAGTTGGACAGAAGAGCCCTTTGGCAAGGCCTAGTGACACATCACAAGACATAGGCATGAAATTTCTTCCCCCTATTTTCCGCACTAAGTACTTTGGTAAATTTCAGGTTCTCTCTCAGAGTCGGGATTGATGAGCTCTGGTTTCAGGCTGGGACGGTCAAGGCTCTGACACACAGGCAGGAGAGTACTTAGAATCTAAATGACAAAAAGCACCTTAATTTAGAAGGAAGAATAATTGAAAAATCCCAGGCTGCTCCATGCAGTTCTTCTCAGGTGATTCCTGGAAACAAACTTTCATAGTCAGAACTCCCTCTCGCTCATGAGTGCCTGCTTCTCACCCTACAAGGACACAGGTATAAAGCAAAACACATTTTCAGTTGCAGATGTTGGTAAAGAAAATTCCAAAGAGGAACCTTAACACAAGTTTTGGTTTCTTTTGAAGGTCTTTAAAAATAACTTTTCAAAAATAGTTGTTGGTTTAAAATGCTACTTAAGTTGGAGAGTGAGTAAATTTTTCATATTGCCTTGCAGTTTATGAAGCACTTGCAAGTAGATTAAATTATTTAGTAGAAGAAAGTTAAGAGAGTTTTCCCAGTAGGAAATGGGTGTGTGAGTGTGACATATTAATATTCAGCACAACGTGCAAACTTGGGAGGGAGACGCTTGGACGGGCAGTGGACTGAACACGACTGGGGAGGCACCCAGCTCTGAAAGCCCCAGCTGGCCATGGTAGAATGGGTAAGTCTTGCCACTGGAAACAGACTAATCTTGGTTCCCGTCTCTGCTTTACTTCTTTATAGAGAGTAGTCTAGAGTGGAGGCTTTGGAGCCTCATTTCTTAGATCCAAATCCTGCGTTCACTGCTTCTTCTGTGACCCTGTTCACCCTCCTGATATTTCTGTATTCTCATCACAGATTGGAGACAATAATACCACCTAGCACATAGTGTTGTGAGGATTAGATGAGATATGATATGCATTGTGATTGGAAAGGTGCTGGCACATTGTATCTTTAGTAAATATGAACCACTATTAATAAATGTATTACCTTAGCGAAGGCCCATCACATGACTGCTCCCTATCTCAATATCCCCATATATAAAAGGGGAGAATATAATTATTGTAAGGATTAATTGAGAGTGTGTATTTTATTAATTTAATTTTAACCTTTTTATTAAAAATATTGCAAACATAACACAAAAGTAGAGACTAATGTGAACTTTGTTCCTGATTTTGCATGTAAGGAGCTTGCAAGTTGCCTCTCTGTTTTAACAGGTAAAAAGCCAAACAAACTAGAAAAGTAACAACTCTTCTAGGATGTGTCAGAGAGGCGAGGATGCAGGCCAAATCACTGTTCTTAAGATTGGAGAGACAGAGAGATGAATACAGAGAGGCATAACTTCCTGGTACAGAGACTTAAGTGGGTCCCATTGGGGCATCAAGTACCACGTAGG